CATTCAAAAGGGTAATTACTTTGGGTAGTCATTTCCTAGACTGCATTCCCCACCCCCTCAACCAGCTGGCATTGAGAAGGAAGCACTGCTTTCCTCACTGCACACAATGAATCTCTAAAATCCCGTTATCCCCAACCTCCACATGCTTCCTTTTGAAGTCTCTTAAAAAAAAAAAAAAACGCCTTTCAAGACAGTCCTAAAATTAATTTCTAATCTCATTTCACCCATATAGTATAAAAATGAGATGATGGGTAGGAAGTGGGATGGCCCTAGAATATGATTTTCTTACCCCTGGAATTCTTTTTTTTTTTTATTAGTTGGAGGCTAATTACTTTAAATATTGTAGTGGGTTTTGTCATACATTGACATGAATCAGCCATGGATATACATGTATTCCCCATCCCGATCCCCCCTCCCACCTCCCTCTCCACCCAATCCCTGGAATTCTGTGATATTTGTGGGAAAGCCTGGTAAAGTTTGCATGGGTGGGCAGACATACTTCTTCAAAAATACTCTGAGGTAAAGTTAGATTTAAATCTATTTTGATGTCCAGAGAATAGAGAAATGTTAATTTGGTCATTCCAGTTCTTTTTCTTTCGTCTGTTCGTAATGTCTATAGTAGTTTCCACGAACTTCTCAAGACCGGCATCCTTCTAAACTCTGATCTTCTGTTAGAATCCTCCTCCGCTCTTCTTTTCTGCTTTCTGTCTCTTTCCACCTGAGGGCTTGACCTCCTCTCTGGCCCAGCTCTGAACTGCTTCCTCTGAGCCCACTGCTCTCCTTTACTTTGGGATTCCACCTTCCTGTGCTCCTCTGCTTCTTTTAGCATTCTTTCTACCACCTTGAATTAACTGACATTTTGTCCCTGAGAATGACACCTTCCCTGTTACCTGTTCCACCTCTTACGGTCACTGTTTGATGAAACTGGAAGAGGGGTGTGGAATAGAGAGAGTTTCAGAACAGATTCCCTGCCCCTGAAAGAGCTTTTCTTGACTATGTTTTTTCCCGCTGCTATTCAAAGTCCTTTCTTTTGAAGTTCTTATATTACATCAGCATCGTCTGATTACATCATTGTCTCCTTCTTCATCTCCAGGATACTTCCCCATCTTCCTTAAGACTTGTTTTAAAGCCTTCCCTGCATACCAATCCTTTCCATCTCTGAGCAGTTGTTGCCTCCTTGCTGGTGACTCTTCCAAAATTGCAGTTTCTCAGTCACAGCCTTTAACTGCCATCGTCCTAGAGTCACAGCCACAACTTGGACCATGCCTCTTGTGCATCTTAGTTTTCTTTACTCCTGTTAAATATGCTCTCTGTCCTCATTGTATGTTCCTAACTCTATATCCCATCTCATTCCTGAGGTCAGTAAAATCTTCCTGTTATTCACTTCCTTTTTCTCTCTCTTGATCGATGAAGATCCCTTTACCTCTAAACTTCCTAAAGCGTCGACGTAATCATTATTTCTGTTTTCTTTATCTCTCATTATCCTGCCAACATCACAGAGGCTTTTTGCCTCCTTATCCTGCTGACAGTGCTTGAGGATCCCTGATGGTCTCCTTTTTTTCGTATTCAATTTCCTCTTCCAAGTTTATATTCCTGACTGCCTTTTGGACATCCTCCTTTTGAAAAATGTTTCTAGCTCCTTGATTTCATTATACTCAGTATTTTCTCATGATAATTTCCCCCCCTTTGTAACTCATCTTTTTTTTTTTTTGCTTTCATTCACCTCTTTCCTCTTCTACCTGTACAGAGGGTAGGTGTTCCTTTGTCTCTTTTCTCTCTGCTTGCTTTCTGTTGGCAATCTCACTCATCCTCTTAACTTTGGTAATAGCTGTCAGGCATGCATTCCCTTCCTTGATGCTGAGGCTCCGTCCCCACACCCTCGTTTCCAGCTTCCTGGTAGACATTTCCAGAGGAATAACAGAAAAGCACTTTAAACCTAAAGCGATTACTAGTTATCATCTAAATAGGGACACTATCGAAGGCAAAGGTGGAACTATTCACAGGCAGCCAGTGTAAACCTGTGTTGTGCATGTGGTCACCTATTGAAACTCATTCCTGTTATTTTCATCATTAGCAATTCCTCACCAGCATTTACTTACTCAGCTGAAAATTATCTTCAGATTCAGTTTTTATTCTTTCTTCAGTTTCCAGTTCCTGTAAGTTCTACCTTTCCCGTGTCTTTTGAATTGCACCTTGTTTTAAATTTCACTGTTCACACCTCTCGCCTGGAATATTGCATTGATGTCTAACTTATATTCTTACTCCCAGTTCCTCCTTTTTTTTAAATCCTTCATGCAATAGTCTTTATTTCTACAAAATGTTCCTAAAGCACATTGATTTTTTTATGCACTGCTTAACAATCATTGTCAGAGAATGTCATGAAGATGTCTCAGCTTGAAATTTAGCACAGTTAACACAGTTTAACATAAAACTTGTTCAGCTTCATCTCCTTCATGGACTCTTTGTTTCAGCTGGACTGTCGGCTTTCCCCAAACAGCTCCTTAATCAGTGGTCCTCAAACTCAGCAGAAACACCTTTGAAATGAAAAGTATATATAAATACTGGAAACCTGAGAGATTTAAATTTAGTAGGTCTATATTGAGGCCTGGCTAAGTTAATAAGGAGCCTCCCCAAGTGATTCTGACAAAAGCCAGCATTGAGAAGCACTGCCTCTGTTTTCCAGCCTTTGTGACTTTGTTCACCATTTTCTCTCCATAATCAATATCTGTTTTTCTTGATTTCTCCTTAAATACTTTCCTATCTTCCAATACCAGCCTTAGTTTTACCTCCTTCATGAGGTCTTCTTTGATCCATCCAGATGGATGTAACTGTTTTGTCTATACTGCAGTCACAGTAAACTTTCACTGGATTATTTTTTGTCTTAGGGTCTCTAGGCAGCACACTTCTTGAAGGTAAGGATCCTACTATTTTATAATATACAAGCCACTGGGTAAGGTCATTGGCTATTGAGAGTTTTTTTGCAGAGATGTTGAAGTTCTTAAGAACGTGATTAATAACCAAGAGTTATTATTATTTACTAATTTAACCCAAAATCCCAAAATGTAAAGTGCAGTAGTTTTAATTCCAACCCTATGATAAATTAAGATTTGCTAATCATGCTAAGAAGGAGAAAGGAATAGAATTTTAAATGCCACTACTGTTTTCAGGGACAGATGAGCTAATCTTAAAATTCAGTGGTGGATTGGTTCCCTTTTAACACCCACTTTTCAGGTGCTTTCAAGCATGTGGGTCTCTTTGGATTCCTCCTGAAAACTGTCATGTTGGCATATAGCTATAAAATGTGCTTTACTCAGAAAATTTGGTGAGTAAAACTGACTTTTTTACTAGTTCCTTTGGCACAGGGGAATACTTTAATAAATAGGCTTCATTGAAAGATAGAGCAATGTTGTTTTTAATAGGGAATGAGAGTGTAAGTATAGTGATTTAATGCAGGTACAAGTGCCTGCATCCAAAAACAAAGTTTTGATTTTTGTCAAACATTCAGCAGGGTAGTGATTTTTTTCCCTCATTTTTTTTTTTTTTTTTTTGTAGCTTCCCCCATTGTATTCTTTTTAACTGTGTATGGTGTATATTCAGAATTTTTTCCTTTATTTTTCTTTGTTAGTACCTGATCAATAAAAGTTGTGAGCATTCAGAATAGATGCATATGTTTCTATTATATAATTAGTGTCCTTGAGGTAGAGATTTGTATTATTCATTGAAAGTATATATATATGTGTGTGTGTGTATATATATCAACAAAGTAGTTGTATTTCATAGCGAGCTTAGGTAAAAGAATAAACTTTTAGGTTTTCAATGTTTTACTTGCTAGTGTAAAATGTATTTCTGATTTATCCCAGGTAAAATAATCAAAACACATATATTCAGTTCAGTTCAGTCACTCAGTCGTGTTCAACTCTTTGTGACCCCCATGGACTGCATCACGCTAGGCGTTCCTGTCCATCACCAACTCCTAGAGCTTGCTCAAACTCATGTCCATCGAGTTGGTGATGCCATCCAACCATCTCATCCTCTGTCGTCCCCCTTTCCTCCTGCCTTCAATCTTTTCCAGCACTGGAGAAGGGAATGGCAAACCACTTCAGTATTCTTGCCTTGAGAATGCCATGAACAGTATGAAAAGGCAAAAAAAATGCATATATACATAGAACACACAAATTTTCCTGTGCTTCTGAAAGATATATTAACTAGAAAACAGTTCTTGGCTTTTGACTTTTTATAAACTCACAGGTTTATAGGGACTTTATGGAACCATTCAGCCTTGCTCTGACTTCTGACAGAACTGTAGCTAGACTACTCAAAACCCCCTAAAGCAAAATCAGACTTCCTTCAGATACTGTTCATTATATTCAATGTTAATCACATTTTCTTTGCTGGGTTATTCCTAGAAAACAGCTACCCTTCTTAACAGTAAGTCAAAGGAGAAAGTACTGAGATACATTTGAAGATGGCAAGTGAATATTGGATGAGGATTTATAGGCAGTTGGAGGTAATTCTTAGCAGAGTAGTAGGAGCAGTGCTATCTCGCACACCACTGGGAGCACATGGCTCTTCGCTTGACCATAATGGTGTGTCCTACATGTTGTGACCACTGTACAGTTTCCAAGCACTCTGTCTCATTTATTCCTTACAACAGCCCTGAGAGGTGGGTGGTATTAACGGTCCCAGTATAGACAGTATAGACAAGGGCACTAAGCTAAGAAGAGTAAGTGGTTTGTTTTTACTTACCTAGTAAGTGGCAGGTCTGAGATTTTGGATCCTCTGATGCCAACTCACACTACCAAAAAGCTGTTTTAAAAAATAACATTTTTCAAAAACCACCTTAAAGTATCATCCAGGACAACAGCAGCAGTGTACAAAGACTGAAAGGTTACAAAAGCACATCTGAAGTTGTCTGTCAGAGTATTCCAGCAGACTGTTGGGATACTCGTTTATGTGTGAAACACTGAGCCATTGAAGTAAAATGATACACAAGCTCAAGATACTGCTGTCTTTTTATCTGTAGCCAACATTTATTTTTTTTGCCTAGAAAAATACATGGGGATATTTAGGACTACTGTGCTGGGCAATTTGCTACTTTAGTGATAGGAACATAATCTTGAAAAAGCAAACACGATTATTTTGTACTTTTTTTGTTTTATTCAGCAATAAGACCACAATTTTTCATATTTAAGGAAGTATGAAAAATTTGTCGAGTTTTAAAAGCTGAATACATGTAGCGTTGGATCAAGGCACATACAAGACTGGCCAAAGGGCGTACAATGCACTTTGGTTTTTTGTTGGGAAAAAAAAAAAAAGTTATGGCAACGGAAAAGTGATGAGGTTTTAAACAAGTCATAGCTCACAATTCAGTAGGAAGCTGGAAAAAAAAGGTTACAAGTTCATTACATAGTATCTGGAAAACCGTGACAGTAATGGGCAGTATTCTTGATCATTGTGAAAGTAAATTGAACATTTATGTACAGTGTTAAAACATTTCACATAAACCAGATCTAAATTTGATTTCTAGTATTTATTTTTCTTTTAAATTCTCACTTATTTAAAGTACTACTTTCTCTTCATTGTTGAGGGGAATTGCTTGTAGTTATACTACTCTTAAAATGTGTTTAAGCTTTTTTTAAACTTCCTTTATGATAAAAACATTGTAAACACTAACAAGTGTGTCTTTAAAGTTGACTTTTCAAAAATCAAGATAGTATAGGCAAAACCAAAATGGAATTGATACTTGTGTTTGTTACGCTATGTGAGTCTAAGTTTTCGTGTTTTTTCCTAAGTACAAGTTTCCCCCACTTGGAAGCACGCTTACATTATTGTTTTCGTGAAGTCCTTTATTATGGCATTAACAACAGCAGACTTCACCCTCCTTTTAGGCCAACTGATGTATTCAGTTTAGAAGATAATGTTTACTTTCTTAAGGAGGTCTAATTTACTTAGCATAAAAATGGAGCTATGCAGCAAGTCTGATATTGCCCATTACTTCACATATTTTGGTTATCAAATACCACTGGAATACAAATTTAATAGTTGGAACATTATTTCATAACTACTTTTTGAAATTTAATTTTTCTCATTCAGCCAGTTTTTTTTTTTTTTTACATTTTATTAATACCAAAGTGAAAAATGGCCTGTGCTTATACTACAAGGATCTCATGTGAATGCAGTCCTGATTGTTCAACACAGCAAGAAAATTCACTTTCACAGTCAACAAGTCATCTTACTCAGTAGAACACAAAGTAAATGGTTTATAACTTCAATATTTGCAAGGAAAATACAGTACAAATTACTAAAAAATACTAAAATATAGAATTGTGTTCAGGCATCTCCACTACATCAATCGCAGCAGTAACCTGAAATTTGAAACTTTTAATAAAAAGTTCTTAAATATAAATTATATGGCAAATGTACAGTACATTGCTTTTCTCAGTCTCTTTTTCCAGTGTTTTGCAGTAGAACAGGGCTCCTACCATCACCTCCCTTAGGTTTAAAAACCGAAACATGGTCTGCTGCAAGTCCTCCTGCATCATGAATGTGAGTGATCCGAGTCTGGGATACCGCTGTCTCTATAGCTTCGGTTGCTACTGCTTTCACTGTGATTGTTTTTGTACAGATTCATTCCATTAGGAGGAAATATGGTGTGTATCACAAATTCCTCCTTTGAGATGGGTTCACTGCTTATGGGTAACATCTGAAAAGAAGTCTCCCTGATTTCCAGGATGGAGTTGTCCTTCTTGGTGCCGGCTTCCGCATAGTCGTCCTTTCTTCTCCGCCCTTTGCTGTATGCACAGTTCCGTGAGAAGAGGGATCCGTTCCTGTGAACGTACCAGCACACCAAAGCAAGCAGGGCGATGGTCACCAGGGCCACAGCCCCGCCAATGATGGCAGCCAATGGCAGATTGGGGTTTTTGTAAGGTTCTTTCTCTTGCTCTCGATTAAGGGTGGTTGTAGGGTTGTACATTCGAAGGGGTGCAGTTTCAGTCTCAATACAAACAGGAGTTTCATCAAATAGATAGAGGTTACTGGTTTCCATGGGAACCATGCAGACTCGATAGGGTGAATCAGGCTCCAGGGCTGTGACCAAGTATTCGCTGCGTTCTCCTGTTACAATTGTTTCAGTTATAGATCCAAACGCTGGGCTGTGGTCCAGTTTGAGCCAGCTGAGTCTTAAAGCAGTCATAGGTAGGACAAGTTTCCAAGAGATATGAATTGTGTCAGAGGTGACAGATTTCACAGTAATGATAATTGTTTTTCTTGCTGGAATCCCTGTGGTTCGCTGGTCCTTAGCGAGTTTGGGGTTCTTCGGGTCTGGTTGTTTGGTCACAGGAGCTGGCCACTGGCCTTGAGCAGGATGCACTGTATTGGGCGTCCCAGTGGTTATCTGAATGGTGCTTACAACCGGGTTGTCCTTACAATCAAACAGTTCCGCATTGAGGTCCTTGATAGCCATCCCTCGAACCTTTTCTGGAGCTTGGCACATGAGCCCACGCACGTTGACCTTCACAGGTAGTGATTGTAACCAGTCACGTACCCATTTCATCTTGCATCCACAATACCAGGGATTGTTTCGAAGAATCAATTGTGTTATGTTGTCCAAATCATCAAAGATACCCTGAGGTAAATTACTTAGGTTATTATTGGACATATCAAGTCGATACAGCTGCCTCAGATAAGAAAAAGCATTTGGGGGCACCCTATTGATATGGTTATCTTGAAGATAAAGCTTCCTCAGGTTTGTGCCTGGAAGGTTTACTGGTGCAGCAGTCAGGGAATTCCGTACCAGTGACAGTTCTGTTAAGTTGACTAGGTTGAAGAAAACTTTATCACCCAATCCATGGTTGTTCAGCAGGTTTCCATCCAAAACCAGGCGTTTTAGGCTAGTGAGGCCTTGAAGAGATGGTGATGAGATAGTGGATATGCGATTATCATCCAAACGGAGCTCCTCTATAGTCCTGGGCAAACCCCAGGGGATTGTGCTAAGGTGATTACGAGACAGGAAGAGCAGGCGGAGATAGTTACTGTCTCTGAATGCCCCCTCTTCAATGCTAACAGCTGAGACAGAGTTATCATCTAAATGTAATTCTTCCAGATAGGGAATTTTTGAAAGTGAATCATAAGTGATGGTCCTTATGTTATTTTCTTGCAGATGTAACTCTTTGACGTACTTTGGTAGGTTGGTAGGAAATTCATCTAAACTGTTGTGATATAGGTATATTCTTTCTACTTTCAGCAAGTTTTTCAAATCTGATGGAATCCCAGCATTATTTATTTGGTTGTTCTGAAGGTAGAGAGTTGTAGCATCCTCTGGTATTCCTGTTGGAATGGATGTCAGAAAGCGATCATTACAGTAAATGAAACCGGCATCACAGCGGCACACAGATGGACAGGGTTTAGCCATAACTGATAGCGGTGCCACCTGGAGGAACAGCCCAATTTTAGTCCCAATGAGGAAGACGCTCCAGGCTGGGCTGATCATGGTCAGCAGTGTTGAGGTCTTTACACAAGGTAGTTTCAGAGCCCTAAAGTGGAGTGAGTTTAAAAAAAAAAAAAGCAACAGAAAACCATCAGACCAGCATACTTAAAATAGTATTCAAAATAGATGTGAACATTGAAACATCTAATAATCATTTTTATTAATTTTTTCTTGCATCCTGAGTTTTTTTTTTTTTTTTTGCATGCTAGCTAAGATGAACATAATCATACAATATTTTTACCTTAAATATTTCTGGTATTAAGAAGTATTTTGTGCCAAATCTATTTAACTTTGAAAGTTTAATATAGTTTTATTGAATGTTTTAAACCATTCTCATAGCACTTTTATGTTAATTTTGTGACAATTGGCCAAGCTTGTCAGATTTCTAATTTTTCCTTAATATTCATAATGAATTGACACATAGGAATATGATTTGTTATATTTAAAGATAATCATGTTACTATTCTTAAAAACCAAAAATTTATATCTGCTTTTTACATGGTAAGCTGTACAAGTACAGAAATCTGTAATAAAAAGATCTATTCTCATACTATGTAATAATTACACACCTCTGGAGATCCTGAATCCCAGTTAAGTCAATTGTTTGCTTTTATTATTGATGTTATTTTTCTTTGATTATTAATATTAACATTGTGAGATAGGCATTTCTAGCACGAAAATAAGAAGGGATTGTTTTCATTTACTTTTGGGAAGGAATGATTTATATAACTAATACATCTGTCTTATCTAAGTGGAAAATTCCATTTCATGTTAAACTAACTCTTTTTTTCCTATTTTACTGTATGTTTTGTACTACATGGTATAATGGCTTTATGAACATTTTTCATTATATTCTAGCTCATAACATGTTTTCACAATGCATTTATCTTTCTTCAAGTTCTAATCTAAAATATGATTCCCCTTTCTCCATGGGTGGAGAATTATAGATTTATACTTATCTAGTGTGTAATATAATTTCTTCTGCACCTTTAGGTATTAATTAGCCTTTATAATTTCAGGCATGAAAATAAGACTTTAATATTTTTCCTACCTTATTGAACGATGTGAGTAAATTTTGCGTGAGTGAAAATCCAATGCACATATATTATTTTCCTGGTGAGGGGCTGGGACTTATAAACTCTTGTTTAGTCCTTGGAAATGTTCTTCACTGTTTATTCAAGTAATTCTATGCCGCACACACCTCCAGATCAGGCTTGCTGTTGTCAATGAACATTCCAGCTGCGGTTCAGCATGGTGGGCAAGCTCATTAAAGTAGGGACCAGAAACAATTCAGTTTCCTGTTACTATGTAGAACACATGGCTTCCTATTTTTTTTCCTTTCTTATAGAGTTTCTGTGTGAAGGTTCCTTTTGTGTAGCTTAATTCCCTTAGTGGAAATTGCTCTCTTTGAAATTCTTATTGGCTCTTCTGTTCAATGTGGTCAGAGATAGTAACTTCAGATCCTCATGAAGAAAGCCATTCATGATGCTAAGGCCTGTATAGTAATAGGTTTTTCAGGCAGTTACCCCCCACCTTTATTCCCATCCAGGATTATCCAAGTATAAACTTTGTACAGTAGCTACATCCTGAGGTATGATTACCTGCTGTGAAATAGCTATTTCCAGCTTTTGCTTCTTGCTGCTTTCTCAGAATATCTGGAGCAGTCACAGGTTATGCAAGAACAGATATTCTTTCAAGAGGTAAAGAAAACTTAATGCAAATATTCTTCATGGGAAAAATGGAAGCATACTAGATTTCCTTTATATTTCTGTTCCTTGAAATACACTGGACCTGAGCAGCTCCTGTGAAAGTAAAATGTTTTAATCAGCTATTAACAAAGAACTTTAACATACTAGAGACATTTCCTAGAAATTTAGCTTCAATTCTTTCTTTAGGCAACACCTTTCATCATAGTAGTGGTTGAAAAGGGATAAGATGACCTCTTTGTCTTTTATTTCCCATTTTGCTATATAAATAAAGTGGGAGCCAAAGTTGAGTTTGTCACAAACTAATTTCAGTTGTTAACTGACTGCTAGTGCGACTTTGAATTAAACACAGAAGCGAAGCTTTATGCAAGAGACAGTAAGCCTCTTCTGTGGGTTTTGAATGCAGATCAGGTCAGTCTTTAAAATTTCACTTTCATATCTTATATAAAATGATAAAGTGTGCAAAAGGAAGAAAATAAGTACTTGAAAGAGGTAAGCAAAGCCACAACTAGGATTTTTTTAATGAAATGCCATAACTTCTTAGATATTTCTGAACATAGTTTTACAAAGTCATATAGTCTGCGATTTAAAGAGTTGAAAAGGGTTTGCTTTAGAAGTTTTCTTTGATTTGCCCAGTGTCTTGTTTAATTCTTCCTGCAGGCCTCACTTTTCCCTATTGTGGAATGTGGGCACTACAACCTTCCTCCTTAGTACTATTTTTAAAGGCTAGTTGATGATCTTGAAACTCTAGTTACTAAGGTATTCTTGGCCAAAGGCAGTGTAGAAGTTCAAGTCATAATATTTTTTGAGAAGAATACAATTTTTAACAAACTAAACTTGAGAAACTGTATTTGAACAGAAAGGACACTATTTCAGTCCGTCTTCTTGTAATGACTGTTAGGAAAGCTTGTCAAAACCTGACAAGGCATTTCTATCTTAGTGCAAACAGGAACATGTCAGTTTCCAAAAATTATCTTTTTAACTTCTGAAAGAGGCTTACATCTTGACCAAAGAGACTCATGATTTTAAGGATGACTGTTTTGTCCATTATCTAATATGCATGAAGATTTTGGGGGGTGGACAGGGAAGTGGGTAGTTTCAGTATCTGTTACATAAAGTTATGTATTCAGGGACTTTCTATACAAGTAAGGTACATTAGGGTATCATGGAAAAATTTGACCCTAAAAGTAGACGCGATTTGTTTCTCCCTCAGTAATTACCTTGCATCCAACAAGGATAGCATCTGTTCCAGAATTCAAACAGTACTCAAAGTGAATTTTAAATAAGACCAAGATTTGTGTTTCTGGCTCTCATTGAAAATTCAGATTCTTTTAGTTTGTCACCAGGTATCAACACTATCATAGACTGAATTAATAGAAGTAAACTGAAAAAACGTCACAGATACAATTAATTTATTATTTAGGAAACCTGAAGTAAAAATAGCAGTCAGCAGATGGATAAAGTAGTCTCTAGTGAATATTGCAAAGTGCCCACAGAGGAAAGTTTAAGTGATGTATTGCTTAATGTTAGGTTTTACAAGTAATGCCTTTAGGGATTTGCTCATTATTGTTGAATTTCAGTGGAGTATTTTCTTGAAAACTTGCTTTCTTGTGAAAGCAATGTGAAATGTGAATGTGAAAATGGAAAACCAAGCTGTGAAATTAATAATTACAATGTTACTTTAAAAAGTATCTTCTGTTAAATGTTTTCTAAGCTTGAAAATTATTCAACATATAAAACAATTTGGTAAATTTAAGAAAAAAAATTAAAGCAATTTAGGAAACAGTTTTGTTAAAATGCATTAAAAACTAATTAAAACCATTATAAAAATCGCACAGAGAACCTGCTTAAACTGTTGCCAATAGCCGGGCATTTCTCCTACACCAGGACAGACTTTAAAGTTGAGAAAATGAATCTGATGAATGGAAGTTAAAAATTGTTGGTCAGCCTAGAGTATGTACAAGGTGATGATCATAATGATAACCAGAGATACAGCTGGTAGCTGAAGTGTAAGTATTTTACCAATTCAAAATCCAATATGTATTGGTTTCACATTTTCAAATCAGAGAAAGAAAAAAATATTCTCCACTGGTAAGAAAAGGAAGACGGCTTTATGCTGTTTGTTTTGCTTTACATGTGTGGAGCTGCTTCCTCTGCTTTATTTGATGTGCAAACTCACATGGCCATGAATTCAATGGTGGTAATAACCTGGGATTAACAGAAAGCCTAAAATCTCATTCAGTTCTTGGAAAATGCCATTCTCTTCTCCCCAGATTGCATTAAAACAAAAGGCAAAAATAGAAAACATATTTCTCTGGAGAGGATACTGTTTCAAAAATGAAGATTCCTTCACAAGTTCCTACTCCCTTTACTTAAACAGTCCAATGCACGCGTGATTGTGTTTCATATCTTATGTCTTCTCTTGCCTTTTTATATTTAAAAACTATAGTGCTAAAGAGGTTTGTTTTATTTTGCATATTAGAGGCTGTAATGGTCTTTCCATCTGAAATAAGCAGTTCTGCTTCTATGTTTAGACTTCCCTCTTTCTGAGCTGGTTCTACATATTCATGCATATAGAGACATTGTAGTTGCATGTGACTGATGAAAAAAAAAATGACCCCCACTGGCACGAACACTGTGGCCAGGTTTCCACAACATCGACTTCAGAGGCTTTATGTCTGCCTAGGCTTGAAAAAGGCCATTACTTCTGAACAAAAAGGAATCAATCTTTTAGAAAAATATTGTTAATGGGGTAACTTGGGGGAAAGCATAAGTGGAGCCCTGCTTACTTAAAGGAATGTTTAAAGTTAAAAAAGAAAATCATATCCTTACTTAAGTATATAGCATTTAGAACTGTAGCAAAAAGAAAAACATAATCACCGTACTGGTAAATTAAACTTATAATATGGATCTTCCTATCAGTTTCTTTTTATAAATTAAAAAATATGGAATTTAAAAAAATGCATTTATAGTGTAATCACATCCATGAAAAGTTACCAGTTGATTTCCATGATACACTTAAAAGAAGTATGTAAATAGATAAGGATGCTATCATTTTGAGATATTTTAAGAAAACGAATATAATTGAACAAGTTGTATCTGAATAGAATACTGGTATTTATAGTCAAGAACATGAGGCAGTCTATATGTTTATATGACTCCTTCTCTGCTACTATTTTGGAGGTGGGAAATGTTTGGTATTTCTTATGTTTTGATCACTTAGATTAAGATTATATGTTGATAGTGCTAACTTCCTAAATCCTTTATTTGTCCCTTTGATTTAAATTGATTTTTGATATGAAATCATCGCTCTAAAATAAAATCTTAAATTGAGTAGAGAGTTTGGAGATTTTAGTTTGTTTTTCATGATTTGCCTCACATCATGGTCTCTAAACTATCCAGGGGCTTTTAAATATATTAAATTTAAAAGTGGAAAAGTATGTAGAACTTTTAATTGAAGTTAACTGCATTATTTTGAGTAAAACCTTGAGACTGAAGAAAACACATGATTGCTCAAATTTATCCAAGTCTGTGAATATTTCTGGGTACACTGAATTTTTTTTTCTTTTTTTGGGGTGTACACTGAAATTTATACAATCATAATTTAGAGTATTAGGAAAGTAATTTATTTATGAGGGCTTAAACTGCTGCTAGAAAGCTCTACAAAATGATCAACCTCTGAATGTTAAGTCTTTGCAATGACAAATAGTATTTCAAATAAACTATGTGTATGGTTAAACTGAAAAACTGGAGTATATCAGGTTAGTTGGTAGTGACAGCAAAATGCTTTCTAAGCAGTCTGTCTGGTAGTTAAATTTTCCACGATCATCAGATTTCAGGAAAGTTCCAATTCTTTTGTTTAATGCCAGGCAAGCAGAAGGACCTCTAACTCTCCTCTTGAGAGTCATGAAGTCTGAAGGGTTTGCTGAGAGGGAGAGAAGCAAGTCTGCCTTTCCTGACTTGGTTTTACCCAGACTATATTCTAGCCTAGAAAGTTTGTTTCTTTTATGCAAATAGGGGATGGAAGTTCCAAAGCAAAGGATTTTCACTTTCTCCTTTTATGTTACAGGTTCTTTTCCCCAGTAGGTTTGTGATAAATGAATCTAATTCTGCTTCATTTATTTTGGCTTGTAAAGTTAAATCAAGCATCCTTAAAACAAAAAGGGAAACTGGGATATTATCTTTCATCATAGTGAAGCCTGCTTCTTTATATGATATTAAGCCAAACTAAATAAGTTAGAGAACCATGGCTTATAAGAATGAATAAGAGATTAATTTAGAGGTTGGTAAAGGTGAGCAGCTGAGAGCTTGGGGCAGGGAACAAGCTTTAAGTTTGCATTGACTTTTAGGCAATTGCAATTAAAATTACGCTTATCCTTTTTAAACTGCAAACATTTTCCCACTGCGAGCCTGATATTCCTTCTTCAGTGTGGTGAGTACAATTTGGTTGATATGCTTTAAGTTTCTAATAGTCAAATTTCCATACTCTAGTACAACAAATATATAGGTTTGCTGTGTGCCACACACTGGGCTGGAAGATAACATCCATAATCATAAAAAACATCATTTTTTTTTTCCATGTCAGAGTTGAGTATAATTGCTGATTTAAACCGTTGAAGAGGAGGAAAATCATCAACACATAAACTGATCAATCCACAGTTCAGTGGTGCACTTTAAAAATGGGGTTTAACCAAATGTGGTCTCTGGGTTTTCTTTTCAAAGTTGCCACGGTAACTTGTGCACATGAAAAGTGAAAGAATAAAGAACAAAAGCTGTCATTGTCTCATCAGAGAGAGCAATTTCTCCTTTCTTGCATTTAAGCAGACTAATACCTGGAGAGAGCTTTTTATGCATTCCTGACACTTGATTTAGGGGGCTAGGAAAGAGATTATGCATATGTTAAACAAATGCAACTTTAGCTGCTGCTTAAATTATGTTTTGTTCTTTTTTACTTAAAATCTGTTTTCTCTAGCTCTCTTGTCAACAGACATCAAAGTCCTGAAACCAGCTCTCCTATGCAATATAAACATGGCTTTCACTTTGTTTTTTTTTAATGTGATGTTTTACCAAAGTTAGTGATGTTGATCTGCATTCTG